GTGACCTTCTCCCTCTCCATCAGCTTCCGTCGGAGCTTCTCCTCTCGCAAGCCCACGACGAAATGGTCCCGGAGGGCGTCATCTAGGTGTTCTCCGAAGTTGCAGTCGGATGCGAGTGGTGACCTTCTCCCTCTCCATCAGCTTCCGTCGGAGCTTCTCCTCTCGCAAGCCCACGAAAAAATGGTCCCGGAGGGCGTCATCTAGGTGTTCTCCGAAGTTGCAGTCGGATGCGAGCTGGCGCAACTCCGCGAGGAACTCCCCGGCGGTCTCTCTGGCCAGCTGATTGCGGGTGTAGAATGTTACCCTACAAGTCAGCTCGGTGGGTTTTGGTGCGAAGTGGCCTTGCACCGCTTTGATGATCTGCTCGAAGGTGCAGTCGCCAAGGTTGGTGGGGGAGAGTAGCCTTCTGGCCAGGGACACCACCGCGGTGCCGCAGGAGGCCAGGAGGAAACCCCGCTTCTTGCCTTCGTCGGTGATGTCGAAGAATTCTAGCGCGGACTCGGCGCCCTGGACCCAGGAGGCCCAGTCTTGCGGGCGGGCTGTGTCGAAGGGCGGTAGCAGCCCTAGCCCGGGAGCGGTAGCCATTGTGCGTGTCGGAGGGGGTGCGGGAGGAGCGGTCGAGTTGTTTGATGGTTCACTCATCGGATCGGCTGCTTCGCGTCCTCCTGGTTCCTTGCGACGGCCCGGCTCAGATGTGGCTAGATCCCACCTTCGTCGCCCCTATTGTGTAGTGGGGGGCCGCATGGATCGACGACAGACAACGATGTGGTGCATAGCACGCTTTATTAGGCACACAACAAGACAAAGACAAACAGCCGGCAGGCCAACTATATACACACCTGGGGACCACCCCTTGGTCACCATTGGTGGGTTTGAATCTCCCGCCATGGCTCCCACTGGTTCCCCAGTGGAGGGACTAGGATCCTAGTCCCCATTGTCTTCCCGGACTGAAGCTCGGGTATATGCCCTGATCTCCGGTGGCGGTCAGTGGACACAACACATAGGCTTGTCTGAAAAGGGCCAGTATCTTTGAGATGATCACTGGCTTGCAAATCAATTAGTTCCATCAGGAAAAAAGTTACTTGCATCTTCTGGTGCTACTTCAAATGCATTCTGAGATATTCTTATTTCCTTTCCATGCTTATGGCAATAAATGAATTTGTTCTGGAATTCCACCTGCAAAAGGTTCAGTGCTTGGATGTGTCTTTCAACATTGAATTGTAAATTCCTGACCTCAAATTTTAGTCCATTGCAGCATGAGAAATGTGAAAAGTTACCTTCACTAACTTGCTTCACAAAAAATGTTTAGTTCTGCTTCAAAAGCTTTCAGTTCAGAATACATGTCACATACAAGCTTTCCTTTTCACTACAACCCCTACAACCTTAGCTTCAATGTGTTCAGATGATCTGTGATATCAGTTAAGAAAGCCAAATCAAAAATCCATCCAGGGTCAGAAAGTACTTTTTTGAGAAAGACATCAATTTCATGATGAAGACTGAAAAAATGTTTGAGGACTTTGCCTCTGCTAAGCCACCTGACTTCTGCATGGTACAATACATCTCCGTATCTCTGGGAGAAAATTTTGAAACTGACAATGAGTAAGGCGATGATGCCTCATGTAATTAATGCTGGATACAACAATACACATCACACTTTCCCACTGAAGATTCTTACTACACAAGGCTTGCTGATGGATGATGCAGTGAAATTGCACCATTTAATTTAAATATCTCTTCACTGATTCTTGCAACTACACAAGTTTTACTTCCCACCATATTTCTAGCACAATCAGTTGAGATGCTTTTTAATTTATCCCAACTCAGACCAATATTTTCTATTGATTTACACACCTTCAAGAATGTTTTCTGCAGTTGTAGCGCCTTTCAAACTCTGCAGTGCACACAACTCTTTTGTAATTCTCAAGTTGGAACCTATCCCTCTGATAAAAATTAGTAGTTGAGCAGTGTCTATAGTGTCATTGCTCTCATCTAATGCCAAAGAAAAAAATTAAAACTTTTTGCCTTGACAATCAGTGACATATGCAGCTCTTCTAGTTCCTCCACACGCCTGGATACTGTAGATGCAGATAAACTGACACATAATATCTTATCAGGGCACATTTCCTCCATTACTTTACCATGCACTTTTTAACAGATTCCCCATCAGTGAATGATCTACCATTCTCAACAATACATCTAGCAACATGATAGCTGGCCCTCATAGTAGACAGGTTCTCCTCAATGTGCTTTCTAAAACTATTTTTTCTGCAAAAATTGATTTTAAGAGACTTTATTTTGTTCACTCGCACCTCTCTTTGATATATTGAGTAGCTCCTGTGGCAGGGTTCAAAGTGCCTTTTAACATTGCACTCCTTTAATACTGAGACAGTTTCAAGACATATCAGGCAAACTGTTTTATCCTTGTTTAAAACAAAGAAATACTCAGTAGTCCATTTGTCATTAAAGACACCGTGCTCGTCTGCAATTTTTTGTTTCTTTGAAACAGCACTTTCTTTTGCAGTCATCTCCTTATAGAATTTTTAGCAGAGCAGCATTTGCAGAGTTGCAATATAAATGCCAACGGGAGTTTTGTGAGGCTTTACACGCTTAGCCGCATTTTATTCCTACTTAAATAAAAATATGAGAAGTATAGTTTTAGGGGCCTCTTTCCTTTCCCATCAAATCCACCCCACTCTAACTGCTATTAGCTGGGGATTTTCATTTCGACCATGGCAGAGAAGAGAAGAGACCCCTGTCTCCTTATCCACTACAGTTCTCAGGAGTAAAGGGCCATATGCTCAGGCTCGGAAGAATTTTTTAAAAATGGATTATGAATCCAACCAACCAGATGGCAGAGTTGCAATCCTAAGCACATTGAATACTATGACGGTGGGTGGGAGGCACGAAACGTTCCCCCGCCTCTCTGAGCCGCGGAACGTTCCTCCACCCCTCTGAGCTGCAGGGTGGTGGCCTTGGAGTTCTAGGGGCATCACACGCCAGAGGTCATTTTGGCTCCCCCAGGTCTTGTTAAGGGCTCTTTAAAGTTATGGCGCCGGTGGCATCAGCAGCGGTAATGGCAGCGGCTGGGGGGAGGGGCGTGAATCATTCCCCCCCTCTGAGCCGCGGGATGGTGGCCTTGGAGTTCTAGGGGCATCACACGCCAGAGGTCATTTTGGCTTCCCCAGGTCTTGTTAGGGGCTCTTTAAAAAGTTATGGTGCCGGCGGTAGCAGCGGCGGGGGGCGCAAAATGTTCCCCCGCCTCTCTGACCTGGGGGAGCTAGAATGACAGCGGCGGCAGCAGCCATAACTTTTAAAAGAGCCACTAACAAGAGCCGGGGGAGCCAGAATGACCTCTCAGAAAGGTGGAATTTGCCCCTAGGAGTCCAAGACCACCACCCCGGTGGTGTTGAAATGTGTTATGTTTTTTAGGGATGGGTGGATTCTTTGGGGCTGTGAGATATGATTCTGATTTTCTGACACGACTGGAGAGATTTAGTAGCGAATCAGTACAAAAATATTTTAATTATAGGATACGCAGGCATTTCAAACTCCTTTTGGGGACAGCGTCCCTGCGCCTAAATTCATCTCAGTTGTCCTGAAGACAGCTGAGCAGAAGACTGCCCGTGTAAAAAAAAACGTATCTCCAATTGCTATACACCTAGTTCCGCTCTCCACATTCATGAATGGAGGCGCTTCCATTCATTTGCGTGCGGCCCTTCCACCACCGCTAGGGAGTAAAAAAACGAGACTCCAGCTTCGCTTGAAAATCAGGCAGGTTCATCCATTAAGCCGGAATCGATTGCCTGTTCCGCAGACTCCTAGCTCATCGACGATGAACTGGATCGATTAGTTAGTCCTGCCGAGGAGAGCCGTTCGTTCCTCGTCATCCTCGTCATCACAGAGCTAGGACGTCAGCGTTAGGATTGATTGGTTTAGCCTGCTCATGACAGTCGGCGGGGGGGGGGATGAGGGAAGTGGTTTCCCTTCCCCGGTCGATCCAGGAAGGATAGGTTTGATTGGTTTTCCTGTATTGACATTTTATGGGGAGGAAGCGAGGGCTGCGGTAGAGAAAGAGGTACGAGCCCGGTGGGCAGTTGCTCCTTGTTGTCCCCCTCCCGCCGGTGATTGACAGAGAAGGGTCTTGCCTCGCGGCCTCCCTTTGGGCTGCCCTCTGTTTTCGGTTGTTGCAAACAGGGTGGAGGACCCAGACCGAATTGCCCCTGAAGCTCTTCCCATGTTATTTAGGTGTTCGCCGATAAGAAATGTGCCTTTTAAATGCCAACGGGAGTTTTGTGAGCCTTTACACGCTTAGCCGCATTTTAGTCCTACCTAAACGTCCATGGATTAGAACCGACTTCTTCCGAGGCAGTTCTGATTATGTGGGCGTTTTATATAGGAGGCGTAGGAAGAAAAAGAAAGAAATATACAGGATGCATCAAGTGAATTGTCATTATATAGCATTGCATTTCGCGGAGTGACGTTTCACGGTGTGTTTCCCGCATTTCATGGCCCCTTGGGCCTGTTGTTTCAAACCTACTACATAAAATAAGGGTGCCAGCCTCCAGGTGGGACCTGGGGATCCCCTGGAGCTACGGCTCGTCTCCAGACTACAGTGATCAGTTCCCCTGGAGAAAATGGATGCTTGGGAGGATGGACTCGAAAGGTTTGGAGGGTTTTTCAAAGGATAACATGGAGGGCCTGTAATTCCATTTATTTCTCAGGAGAGCCTTTAATTCAGTTCAATTCTCCAAATAGCTGGGGTAAGCTAGGCTCTGAGAATTTGTTGTGTGATCATATGGTCAGATTCATGGCTTGTTGGGAATTTGAACCTAGGTCTCCCCAGTTCTAATATACAGGCTGTACTGACTCTCAAAATTTGCATTCATTAAGAGTATCAAGCTCACTGGTTGCTTTTCATAAGTCTTTTGCTCAGACTTCAATACTTGCCTTCTTTGGCCTCAGGAACTGAGGGCTTTGGTTGTATGACTTGATATTAAAGTTTTGAGATGGTTTTCTTAGCTCTAAAACAGTGTACATAAATTGCCCTCTGCAACCTAAGTCAATCCAATGATGCATGCATGCTCAGATATACATTACATGATGTACAATGGAATTTAACTTCAAAGGCAGCATGCATAGGATTGCAGGTTTAAGAGAGTTCTTAGAATACAGGTCACCTGTGTTTTCAATAACTTTGAAGAAATGGGGGTTCCTATACGCACCACTCATTACATTACTGCAAGAAGTACCAGTGCATTCTCTGCTGGTGCTTCCAGTTAAGCTAGGACTTTTCACCATTTATTTGTGTTGGAGTTTTACAAGTTTTTCCCCATAATCTGTACAGATTAGGAATTTATTTAAATAAATGCAGTATCTGCATGTTCTACCATGTTTTTCTGGGTGACCTTATATAATTTCTCTTCTTGTGCAGTATACTCTATATAGCCAGTTTGGTGTAGTGGTTAGGAGCACAGACTCTAATGTGGGAGAACCAGATTTGATTCCCCACTCCTCCACTTGCACTTGCTGGATGACCTTGGGCAAGCCATAGTTCTGGCACAGCTGTTCTTGAAAAAGAGCAGTTTCTCTCAGAGCTCTCTCATCCCCACCTTCCTCACAGGGTGTCTGTTGTGGGGAGGGGAAGGGAAAGGAGTTTGTAAGCCGCTCTGAGACTCCTTTGGGTAGTGAAGGGTGGGGTATAAATCCAATCTCTTCTTCTATATTAAAATTAAGGTAAAGTGGAAATAATTGTTTTGTGTTGTGTCAAGCAGGTTCTAGTAATCATGTCAGGCAAAGAAGAGTTGGGCAGGTTGTGATGCATGCTAACATTATGTGACACTTCAGCATAATTCAAATCCATAACAAGTTGCAACAGTACAAATGTTATATAACCAGTCATGCTTGTGTGACCGTCTCTGTTTCAGAGAGAGAATCATCCTTGAAACAGAAAGGCCCATGGAAATGGCCAGCGTAAGTAATACCCATTTTATTATTTTTAAAAACTGGCTTTATAATAGCATTGAATTTTGACTTCTGTGCTGTGGATTGAGTTACTTAGAGAGTATATGAAAAGTGCTTTCTTCAGTTCATTTTGTGAAAAGCTTGAGAAAACAAATTGAAACGCCCAGACTGGAATACATACTAAGCCATGGTGTGCTGTTTAAGTGAACAGAACCCATGAACAGAAAGACGGAGATCTGATTCATGAGAGCTTATTCTGGAACAAATTTTGTTAGTCTTTAAGGTACCACTAGAATTCTATTTTGCATAAAGTGCTGCATAAAGTGATTTGCTTCACCATTGAACTGTCTTTGAGGAAGACATCACACTGTTGTTTACTACAACAAAATCATGTTTACTCAGAAGTAAACCCACTGAGGGGTTTTTTTTGGGGGGGGGGGATAACTCCCAATGTAGTGTCTATAGAATTGCACATTTACAACCTGCTGTTATGCATGATTACTCAAAAGAAACTTTCTCTTTCCTTAGTAGAGACAATGTATGCATAAGATCAGGATTAAGTCTGTAGTCATAAATAGTTTATTTGCCATTGTTTTCAGTGGGACTTGTGTAACTGTGCCAAGGAGTGACATATATCCCATCATGAAGAATATACCTAATTCTCAGTATGGCCCCACCTGTGGATACTTAAATCAGGTGACTGGTGCCAAGATAAACAAGACAGATACTTTGACAAACCTGAGAAAAGCCCCAGGTTTTCAAGAAAGTGAAATGTTAAAAAAATTAAATAATCTCTCCAAAATGATAAGGCAGGACCTGTAGCCTTAAGAAATAAGAAGGAGAGAAGAGGAGATTGGATTTATACCCCACCCTTCACTAACCAAGGGAGTTTCAGAGCGGCTTACAAACTCATTTCCCTTCCCCTCCCCACAACAGACACCCTGTGAGGTAGATGGGGCTGAGAGAGCTCTGACAGAAACTGCTCTTTTTCAAGGACAGCTCTTATCAGAACTATGGCTTGCCCAAGGTCATCCAGCCAGGTGCAAGTGGAGGAGTGGGGAATCAAACCCGGTTCTCCCAGATTAGAGTCCGCGCACTTAACCACTACACCAAATAAGTGCTCTCAGTGGTGAGTGTAAACAACAACAACAGTATTGCCAGACTTCAAGCTTAGTTTCTGACAATGAAAGACAGGAGGAGGGGCAGGGCCCTTTTGGCCTTTGAGGGAGGACTTTGAGGGAGGCCAGTCCCAGCAGCAACCACCCAGTGACTTGCTACCATGTAACTTGTACATCTCACCCAGGCCAAGCTGCTTGCTGCTGTTTACAGCAGCTGCCCTATGGCAGATGCAGTGGTAGTGTAGTGGTTAGAGTTTCAGATCAGGATATGAGAGACTCAGGTATGAATTGTCACTCTGCTGTGGAAGCTCACAGGTTGACCTTGTGTCAGTTACACATTCTCAGCCTAACATGGGGTTGTTGTGAGGGAAAAATGGAGGACTGAGGAATTATATAAGCTACTTAGGGTCCCTTTGTCTTTTTGGGGAAAGTTGGGGTATAAATAAAGTAAATATATAATAAATATGGGCAAAGATGGAGCAGATAAAAGGTAGGTTGATTGCTGGGTTGGAAGGAGAGAAGCAAGCAGGGCAAGATGAGGATTGGGAGCTTGCAAGGAGGGGGGGAAGAAGAATTATTGTGGGGAGGCGAATACAGAGGAAAGTGAGGTGCCCCCCCCCCACAAGTCCTTCTAGGTTCTTCACTGTGCAGCTGTGCCCAACCTGGCCCAATAGCTTGCAGTACACAACTCAACTAGCGTTTCCCTAGGGAAAGGCTGCTGGAGAAGAAAGGGTGGAAAGGTGGGCCGGTCAAGGTTGATTGGTTGGTGGGTGGGAATGAGAGAAAGATGCAGGAAAAGGGGGGAGGCAATGGGAGCTTACAGGAAGGAGAAAGAAGAAATAGTGAGGAGGGGAAAATGAGCCCCCCACAAGTCGTTGTGGATCCTCCCCTTGTATGACTATAATCCCTGTGCATGGAGGTCCCATATCTGCAGCAGACTTCAGAAGTCCTTTTCTCGTGATTTCCCCCCTCCCCTGAACCAATCCCTTCTGGAACTCAGGGGACTCTAAGGAATGATCTCTAACACCGCATCAGGAGTTGTGATTGAGTAGGAAATCCGGGCCAGACTAGGTGTTACATGTTTTTAAAGGAGTACCCAGGCTTAACTGTCTCCCTACAGCCACATAGAGGATGCAGGGACTGTCTGTTTAAAAGTAAATTAGAGCCTAATTTAAGCTGGGGGAACGGGGGAATCTTGCCTTCCCCTCTGCGCTTTTTCCTGATCAGAAACGGCACTGGGGGGAGGTATTGCTCCCTTTTGGGCTGTTGGTAAAAGGCCCAAAGGAGACGGCAAGAGCCCCTCCTCCCCTTACATCACAGTTCCCAGCAAAATCAGCTTTCCTTAAAAGAAGCCCAGCAGCTGCTGTGGGGCTAGGGAGAAAGAGTCGGACTCAATTTTTTAAAAAATAAAATCTAGTTTAGCCCTCAGTGTACAGGAAAACAGCAGTTCACACATGTTATTTATTTTTAAAATAAGTGTACTCATTGTAATTTCAGATTATACTTCTTCTTGTTGCCTTTGCATGTAACCAGGACCATTTTCATCAAATCAGCACTGCAGCTAGTTGCACTCCGCCGAAAAAAGGGCTTCATGGTTTTCAGTGATAGATGCAGAGTAAAACACATCAGTGTCCTGCTACCTGCTTGTTGATAAATATTTAAAAGTTATATTAAAGTGAGCAGATCTTATTAAATAGTTTATATTTGTTTTAAGGAAGAAATTTTTATAACTAGGGTAAAGAGTTTGTTTTTACAGAATCAGATTCTTAAAACTTAGTCTGCTTCGAAGGTAGTCTTTTGTATTTTAAAAATTCATCTTTTGAAACTAGTGCCTTCTCTTTCTCTCTCTGGCAACCTTGAGTTTTTATTCTGCTTCAAGTTACAATGTTTTTATAGCAATAAATTGTTTTAGTCATCTCTGTGTTTGAATGATATCTGTGTTGGCCACAACTGCATTTACAAATGAAGGCTGCACCAAATGAGCCTAAAAGTGATCTTCAGCTGGAGATGGTTGAATTGTGAGTGCATAACTATTTTGCAGTAGTTTTTAAGAGAAGCTAAAGGTTTTGTAATCCGGGGAGTCTGAGACTGTAAAATAAACTCTTGAACACAGTGTCAGTGGCAGCGCAATAGTTAATAACACTGGCATTTGTGGTCGATAGGCTTCAGAATAAAGCCACATGGAGATAATACCACACATCTGAGCTCCGATAGATTCAGGCAGTTTTCAGGTTCAGGAAGAAAAACGGAATCCATTTTATGCTCGTTTGTCTGGGTTAAGACTTTCTGGGTTTGTTGTTAGTTTTTAAGCTTAGGCATAAGCACAGTTCCGTTGCATGAGTCTGGGGTTGAATTCTCTGCCACTCGGAGTAATGGCCAAGCATTGCAGTCAGCTGTCCCTAACTGGATTGCCAGTTTTGCTGTGGGACATGGGACCTCTCAAAATAAACTAGTGAAACTAACTGAAAAAAATTGACACACATCTACTTGCTCTTTTAGTGCATTTCACTTACCAGAGTGTAAACCTATCTTCCGGCTTTTTTCTATACGATAAATGTTGTTTGGCAGGGGTCGTTTCGTAGAAAAAGAGCTAAGGGGACTCATTAGCATAACTCATTAGCATATACCACACCCCCTGACATCACCGGAAGTGTGTCATATGGCCACACCCCCTGACATCACCGGAAGTGTGTCATAAGGCCACACACCCCGCCCCCAACGGTCCCGGCCGCCGCCGGCCTTCCTCGCACTCACCCTCCCTCTTCTCCTGCCTCCTCTTGGCTGAATGAGGGCCGGAAGCGGGGTGGCCGGAAGCAGGGGGCGGGGCTTCGTCATGTGCCCCGCCCTCTGTACCTCCCCCGGGGGAACTGCGATTCCCCCCCCCCCGAAATGACCTCTGTTGTTTGGACACTTCACCGTATAGAAAATCATGTGCAAAAATTTTCCAACTGAAATGTTATTAAAGTTTAGTGACATTCAAAGAAAATAATTTAACTAGTAATACCAAAAACTATGTTACACGTTGCAAAAGCTGGGTTTCTTTTCTTTCTTCATAGAATGAGGCTCTGTGTACTATGTCATCATTGTAACTTGCAACCTGCGCTACATTCAGTTCTCTTTGTGTCCCCTTTAGGTGCTTTGTAACAGAGCTAGACTGGTGACGTACCTGCCAGGATTTTGTTCTTTGGTTAGAAGGGTTGTAACTCCCAAGGCTTTTTCCACAGCAGGATCTTCGGGCTCAGATGAGCCTTCTGTTGCTGCTGCACCTCCTGATATATGTAAGGACAATTCCAAGAATTTCTTGCACGTTAGTTAACATCTAAAATCGACTGTCTGGGGTTTAAAAAAAATCAAACTCCTGTTTCAATAGATTGATACCTTGTGAAACGTATTGCCGAATTCTAAGCATACCTTCAGGAGTGAGCTCCACTGAATTCAGTGAGACTGACCTCCTAATCGGTATGCTTAGAATTACAGCCTTGGGTTACTTGAACCTTACTGTCCTTTTCTTCTTGCAGCAGTATGTGCAGAAATGTTCATTGTTTAGCTTCTGAAAAAAATGAGTGGGTTATTAAATGAGATATTCATATAAGCATAACTTTTTTGGCAGGTCCAAGAACTGTGTGGCCAGATGAAGTAATGGGACCTTTTGGTCCGCAGGATCAGAGATTCCAGCTACCGGGTAACATAGGCTTTGACTGTCATCTAAATGGCACAGCGTCTCAGAAGACAACGCAAGTCCACAAGAGATTGCCTGACATTTTATTGGAGCCTTTGGCGAGTGAAAGGCATGAGTTTGTGATGGCTCAGTACATCAATGAGTTTCAGGTAATGATCCAGTGACAGAGTCACATGGGGGCCTGGGTGGTCATACAAGATCTGGAAAATGCATTGTCCTGCTCCAGAGCCAGTGCAGTAAATGACCAGAACCAGATGTGGATCTTGAAATCCTTCTGGAGGCAGAAATATTTCATCTATATCCTAGGCAAAGGCACAAGGCTACGCTTAGAGTATTTATACCTGATCAGGCCAGGCCTCATACTGCGGTTCCCTCTGTTGGAAGCAGTTGCTGAGAACTGAGCTAACAAGGTCTAGGTAGATCACTAGGTAAGGGCCTAGGCTACAGCTACAAGGCTCCAGATTGAAGCCCTAAAATGCCTGACAGTAAGATTGTTTTTTGTTAAAACCAGGAAGATAGTTTCAGGTGGGTATCCATGTTGGTCTGCAGTAGACGTGTGTCCAGTAGCACCTTAAAGACCGACAAGATTTCCAGGGTATAAGCTTTTGAGAGGCAAGGGAGGTTTGACTCTTAAAAGCGTACACCCTGGAAATATTAACTCAGTACATACACTGAACGTGAGGACAGAAACACAGGAATAACATAGAATAACCTCAGTGAATAATCCAGTACTCAGTAGACAGGGTCATGCTTTCAGAACGACTTGTCTTACAGTGCTCAAGAGAGCTTTAACATCAGTAGAGTGACAATTGTCTTATCTGATTCTTATCTTGGGAAAGATTAGACATATATTGCCAAGTTCTGTCTGAATACATGTCAGTTACCAGGTACTCCATCTCCTTCCTGTCTTCTTATAGCTTGAGGCTTATTGGATGCCTTAAACCTTCCTATTGAGTCTTTCTTGGCTTCTGTTAGTCCATGGAACTATAACTAGTCCATGGAAAATGTCTGCCCAAGTACATTTCACAAGTAAAGGAAGGGATTTGTGCCACATCGTGCAAGTCTTGCCCACTCAGCACAGCACATTACTAAGGCTAGCTACTAAAAGTGTGTGATGGACACTTTCAGTAGCCAGTATGTGGTGATGTGTGATGCACTGTTATCATGAAGTAACGCATGCAGGCATGCCATTTAACAGGAACATGAGACAGTACCATAGGGGCCCCCTTGCTTCAGTCCTGGCTGATTATTTATTATCAGGGCTTGTCTGGAGCCAGTTTACTAGTTCTGTATGATAGCAATTGTTGTCAACAAGTTGTTTTCAGACTGTCTACCCTGAAGGACCCATTCCCCTCTAATTATTCATCTGATGAGGAATCTCTGTACTGTGTGGAGGACTGTCCAAACCTTCTGGAGTGTCCAGACTAATCAAGCGGGACATTAGCCAGGCCTGTTGGCCTTCACATAGTTGAGAAATGTGTTCTGGTAGACATTTGACTGCTCATCTGTATCTGCCTGTTGTGAGAGAAGATCAGCAGGAAGAGAGTGTGAAAACTAGTGCCCATTTGTCCTACATTGATAGCATTGTGATTATTGTGAGGTGTAAAACAAAAACCACAACAAATGCTCTTGAATGTATCCAAAAGCAGGCCTTTGGACCGCTCTGTTCTCAATCCCTCCTTGCCCCCCACATCCTCAGTTTTGAAATGGCATCCTGTGCTCATGCATATAGGGTGATCACAGTGTCTCCTAAGTAGTGTCCTGCACTTTGTCAGAAATAGAATTGCACTTCAGCTGTCCAGAAGCTGGCCATGTTTTGGTGAACCTTAAAATTGCAGATCCTGGGGGGAAACTCTCTTCTAAAATACTCCATCACTATTCCTGTTGTATTTTGCATGGGTCTGGAAATTATCTGTTTTTCTTTCTTCAGAGTAATGATGTTCCTCATAAACAAGAAGTGAATAATGCAAAAGCCTATTTTGAAGCTGCCAAGGTAGAATGTGCAATACAACCATGCCCAGAACTGTTGCGTAAAGGTATGGATTTTGTTGCTACGTTGGTAGCCTTTTAATTATTCATAGTAGACTTCCAGTGCAATCCTGCATAGTTTTACTGAGAAGCAAGACCCTTTTTTTTCATTGGGGGTTACTCTTCAGTAAATATTAATAGGTTTGTAGCTAACATTGCATGCAAAAAGTAAGCAGTACAGCCCTTTTGTTAATAGAATTTGAATTAATTTCCTTGGACTTTTCATTAAGAAAAAGGTAATTTTCTACGTGAGCAAGACATTTAGCACAGAAATCTCAGAGTCCACTCAGAAATCTATGTCTTCATTCTGATTGGTAACTATTGGAAAAATAACTACTTAAAATAAGGATGGGAGAGAGGAGCACAACAATGTCTGAAGCTACTCACTTTGTTTCTTTGATTTCCTCCTTTGTAGATTTTGAGTCCATGTTTCCAGAAGTGACTTCCAGTAATCTAACGATACTAACAGTAACTCAAAAAACTGCAAATGATATGACTTCCTGGAGTGAAGAAGTTGAAAGTGAGCAAGAGTCTCTGAGAGAAAATGTAAGCCATTATGTTTATCATAACAGAATACCCTTAATTTCCCTTGGAGGCAGGATTTTGTACATGTCTATGTATTGTATCATGTTAGTTCTGACACTTCATAGAAGACAAGATGTATGCACATTGTTGGCTCTGACTCTCACTGGTGTGGAGTTCAGAGTCTGACCTGTGTTAGCCAACTGCTGTTACAAATAGAGCATATGTGAAGAACACTGGGAGCATTTGGTGTGGTAAGCGTTCCAATACCTATCATGACCATGCAGGGCAAAATAATCACTATAACTATGTAGTGCCTCTTGGCGCTACAAGACTTTTTCTATGTTTTTTTCTGCTTTGGTTTGAATATGTGAATTGTTTTACTTAAAGCTTACTAAATGAATTCTTTTCTGCTCAATCCAGTTTGAATTTGCTAAACTAAGATCTTACCTCTCACTTTGACCGTGATTGTTTGCAGAATTGCCACTAGAGGTCGCCCTTTCTTATGTCACCGTTTTTTAAAAGTATTAGTAGTTATATCCTGATAAATGTTAACTGCTGCTAGGTGTTCCGCATACAGCAGTTTTTGTTATTTCCTTTTTTAAAAATGTCTTCATCTAGATCTGCTATGTTTCTTTTCAGCACGATGAATTTTTAAAAAATACGTCTAATGCAGTTTATAGGCCCTCCAGTCCTTTTGAAAGTTTTTCCAGTTGCGGTAGCTTTGATGTGGCCTTTTAAGGTTATCTGATTTGGGGGAGACGGTAGTATTTCAGCATCACCATGAACATTGCATAGAGAAGAAATCTCCATCTGAGTGTGTCTCTGTCTCTGTGTTAGTCATGGTCTGTTGGTCTTGGCCATTGTAATCTGGTCTAATTACATCCTATTTGTCCTCTGTCTTCCTTGTCCACCTTCCTGTCAATTCGAATATAATTACTGTAAGGGTGCTGGGATGGAAGATGTAACCTTCTGGCCTAAAGGTTCCTAACAGCACATTCACAATAGAATGGTCTATTTGTTTGCATTGTGACTGTTCGGAAATAAGCTCAGGAGAACTAGCTTAACATGAGAGACTTTGGCTGAAATAATAACAGCTAGCTGCTGGCAAAGGATAGGTGTTGCAGCACTGAAGCCTCAAGCTGCTTTAATTGACATCAGCTTGAGTGACTGTTGCAAGATGATAACAAACCAGGATCAAAAGAGTTGAGACAAAGTTGTCTAAATTATTGAGGGACACCAGTGATTTAATATAACATTGAAATCAACAGATAATTACAACTTGCAGTTTTACAACAGAATGCTTGCAAAGATGGTTCCACTTTGAGTGTTTGTCGTCTTTTAGGTTATTCATACTCTGAGCATGTCTTTATGTGAAACTATGTCTGGGTTATATGCTTCAAGGAGAAATGTCAGGGTTTTTTCCCTCCAAATCAATAGAAGGACATGACTATACCATGTAACTTAATGGTTAAAATGCATAAATTAATAGATTGGAAGCTTGATGGGAACTCATGTTTACATTAGATTAGATTGAGGCACTTGGCAGAAAATGAAAGTTGTAACCTTGTAATGTGTGTGTTGGTTTGAAGACTTCAAATTGCATAATTTCTTTGACTCAGTTCAGAAAACATACAAAACCATGGTTTAATTAAACTATGGTTAGTATGATCATCTGAATGCAGGCTACTTCACTAACTATGGGTAGTTAGGATCTGTCAAACCAGTATCTCCATTGGTTTGTTAACTGCAGTTAGTTAGTTTAAAAATAATTTTGTGTGACATATGAATACAGCCTGTGACATATGAATACAGCCATCCAGACTTAATCCGGACTTGTTCCCCCAGCAAGGCCTTCCAGGCTACCAAAGGAATATAGTGAAACCGGTATTTGTTGAGGCAAACCAAAATATGAGTGATAATGTGTGGGCTGAATCCTAGTTACTGCAGATTTAGTCGAAATAAATCATGGTTTTGTGTGATGTCTGAACTGACCCTTTGAGTTGCTACATTAAGGCAGAAATGTGAGTTTATCTCTGGATACAGTTTGCTTAATCCCCCAATCTGTACAAGAGACTTTTATTTATTTTTATTTATTTATTTTGGGATTTTTACCCTGCAAGCACTTCTTAAATATATATGTTAACTTTACAGTATTTTAATGCAGGGAAAATGAATATGCACTAGGCTTCGAAGTATACTGAGCATAACATATGCCGAATAAATTTGGTTTTATTTGAAACAGGTACAGTATAATGAACAGATTATTTCAGGCTGGCATAAATTAGTGTTCCAGTCACCTTTCTCTGACAGGGTCAATGTCAGAGTCAACATTTCCAAAAGTTTAAATTCCTTTAAGCAAGAAATTTCTTGAAATGGAATTTCTTTGGCCACAGTCCAAAGCATTTATAGATGCACAGGCTTTCTTTGATGTTATCTTTTGGCAACTTTTTTCAATTGAAGAGATGAGCCTCTTTCTAAGTTTAAAAAATGCAGCTTGCACCTTTAACAATTGAAGCTGTTCTTCAGTTTTAAGCAATATTCAAACTCTGTACAGTTGTCTCCACACTTCAGTGTCTCCTTTTAGACTTTGGCACCTTGTAGAGTAGCATCATATATTTAAAAGTTATTATAATTTGTTGTGCCTCTGTTTTGCAAATAATTTACTTAGCAAGAAAATTTTGGAAGAAGTTGAACTACAGTTGTAAACTGTGATAACTGAGCTTAGTTTCTGCTTTACTGCCGAAATATTGGGCACTTGCAACTGGAAGACGAATGTTTGAACTGGGCAATCCTAAAACGGCAACAAAAGGCTCATATTTATTTTCTTAAGTATTACACTCTGATTCACACGAGCAATCAAAGCGATTACATTCTCCTAGTCGTACAAAATTATATTAATCTCTTTCTCACTAAAACAAAGAATTTTTCCTAAAACTCATGTGACTGGAGTATCTAAATATAGGTTATTAAATTTAATCGTCTTAGTACTGTCATTCAGTTTTTTCAACCACAGCTCTGTTCAGTTTTACAGTAATTTGGTGCAGAGAAAATGAATATGCCGTCGTCTTAAAATGATATTCAGCATATGCGGATCTAATCTTTAACATTTGTTTCCTCTCTACTTAGTTTATCAGTGGTGCCAAGGAAATTTGCTATGCGTTGTCTGCTGAAGGCTATTGGGCAGATTTCATTGACCCAACTTCAGGATTGGCAGTAAGTAATTCCGTTAAAGTATGATAAAAAAAGGACACAAACACCATCAACTGGCAATAGACTGAAATGAAAGCAAAAGGATTTACAGTTTGTCTAAACTGGTTTCTGGTATGCTTTCCATTTCACTGTGACTCTGAGAAACTGTCCTGATAGTTGAAACCTTAAGGAGCAGCCACACAAAAGCAGACAAGAATAGTTTTTGCCCACTACCTGGATAGCCCAGGCAAGCCCGGTCTTGAAAGCTAAGCAGGATTGACTCTGGCAAGCACTTGGATGGGAGACCTTCTTGAAATACCAGAGGCAGGAGGTGGGGGCAGGCTTTATTCAGCCACCTCTCTTAAATTCCTTCAGGCCCCCAGTAGGGGTCAGCCACCAGAGGTCGCCATGACTTCCAAGTGCACATACAGTCAATCATCAGAGGTTGCCATGGCTTCCAGGTACACACACACTCACATGCACACACACATGCATATTAAAAAAAGAATAGTTTTTGCAACAACTTAGACCAGTCACATACTCTTAGTCTAACTTATTTCACAGGGCTGTCGTGGGGATAAAATGAAGTGAAAGAGAATGTGTGTGACCATGAGGCAGGGTGATATGTGCCTGGCTAATCTCATTTAACAACTTTTCTTGATGTATGAATATACAAGGAATGTAGAAATTTGTTATTGATGGTGCATGTTAAGGGATGAGTGCATGGTCATCAGAAGATTGTGCAGAGACTATTATTTACCATTAGAGAAGACACTGCTCAGTGACACCTTCATAGAAATGTTAGTACCAAAGTAGCAATGAGAATAGAAAAAGTAAAGTAGAATATTACAAAGATGCTCAGTGCAGTAGTGATATGCCCTTCTAAGTCCACTCACTTTACGTGCTTAGAAGGATGTTCCTGTGCTTAGGGTTGTACTGTTAATCTTAGATTTTAAGCCAAATATATCTAATACATTAAAATCCTAATACATTCAGAAATGTAATTAACAATGATGACCCATACTCTGTTTCTTCTTTTTGCTTTCAGTTTTTTGGCCCTTATACAAACAACACCCTTTTTGAAACCGATGAACGTTATCGCCATTTAGGATTTTCCATTGAGGACCTTGGCTGCTGCAAAGTTATTCGTCATAATCTCTGGGGGACACATGTGGTGGTAGGAAGCATTTTCACCAACGCTGCACCTGACAGCCCTATCATGAAGAAACTGAGTGGAAATTAATTGCATGGCACTGTGCAGTTGTCTTACTCAAGCACTGGTCAATAAACACTGTTGAGAAAGAGCAAGTGTAAAATTACACAGATTTGAAGTTTTAAAAAAATCTATTTATTTTAAGCAGTGGATTGTGTGTCGTCTCTACACAATCTGTAATGGTAGTTCACCTTTTTAAGAGGTGTATATATGTAATTATAAGGTATTTTTCTCCTGTTATAAATGAAATTAAAACTTTGGAACACAAATCCTTGACATTCTAATGCCATTGCCATTGGTATGGCCCTGACCAAACCTGTAATTTAGGTAAAATTTGCAAAATATTTTATAAATTGCAGTTACAACAGTTTTAATAAAGATTTCAGTTAATTGGGAGTTTCTTTAATTTTGAACAAAACCAGTTTTGAGAGAAGAACATTCACAGTTGTACAATTGGCTATCATTAAAGAAAATTAATCACAAACCTTGAGTTGTACCAAGTCCCATTTTGTTTTGTTTCTGTTTTCTGTATTTATTTGGAGTATATAATTTATTTCAAGTTGGCATGTACTACATACATTTGAATGCAGAGTCCTATTTTATGATGATTAAAAAGCTTACATAACTGCAGCATCCATGAACACACATACAAGATGAATTTTAGAAATCATTGTCAGGAGATTTATACCAGTATAAAATTCTAAAATCCCTTTTTTGGAGGGAGAGGTGGACTGATTGCTACTCTTGGTAAGCCATAGAACAATGTGACATTTTCCTCATACTTACAAGCAAGATACCTGAGATTCTCTTATCTAATGGCACCAATTTGCCCGAATGGCTGAATACAGGTATACATTTAATTCTGTCAATGAATGTCTTATTTTGTCTGAATGACTTTAGCTGTTGGGGAATTGGGGTGGGTCATGTGCATTTTATCTTGGTTCTCTGTGGAATAGTAAGAGAAGAATAACTTAAGGCCAGTGCTGATGTTAAATAACCAGAAAAATCCATGAAATTAGGGATATCAGTCATTATCTGGCTTCCTTCTGTTGTGCCAAAGTTGTCAATTAAAGAGGTAAGCTGATATCCAGTGGATTTCTATACTAATAATGCTTACCATGGTTAAGTGACTGGAGGTCTGTCTATGTGTATTTTTCTAGTGGTATTTTTTTTGATAATGTATTATTTTCCCTAGTGTAATCTTGTTTACAGAGGTTAAAGGTGCTACATGATGTGCTCTTATTATCTGCAGCCTGCTTTACCCATGGAGCAGAATGAAGTGTTAGAAATGATATACTTCTGCAGATGGGGGGACTGCAGTTTTTAATGATTCTCTGTGTAAAAAATATCTAATTAAAGAACAAGTATAGCAATGAGCAGGCTATGCTAGACTCTTTCTGGCACACTAGTTTTTTTTACTAGTGTGGAATTTGTTTTCCTATGGGCAGCATTTTTTTAAAAAACCCAAAACAGTACTCTCCCCCTCCCCCAGTAGTGGTCTGCCCTATCACCTTATTCTGCAGCATATATAGACCAGCTTCAAGCTTCTTCCATTTAAAACCCTCTTCAAAATTGTTTGTTTTCATGGAACATGGCCCTTTTTTAAATGCCTCCCTAATTCCTAAATGGGCATTTTACTTGCAGTGGAATGAGAAGCTTGCACCTGCATATCCACAGAAGCGGTGTTGTACCGCTAACACAGTTGCTGTGCCCTGTTGGTGCTAGGGAGATGGCGCTGCTCAGCTGAGACTCTGGTTCCCTCTTCCAACCATCCCAAGCCTCTTTTTGTGACCAATCTGTAGCACCTGTTGGAACATTCTGAGTGCTCGAGAAGCCACACCAACAACAGCTGCTGTCCAAGCTTACAGGTGGCCTAGACTCTGGACTACAGCACAGAATAAATCCTGTGCTCCACTGCTCTGTGGGCTTTGGGACAGTTTATTTTGAGAAAGTTCAAAGTGGAATGTTCCTATTATGAGCAGCTTACTAAAGATTGTGCTTTTATTTTTCTACAGATATCATAAGTGTACCATAGTGACATTATTGCTTTACAGGAAAATGGGATTTAGGCCTCAGGCAGATAGTTTTAGACACAGTAGCTTTAGCCACTATTTACAATATGCTTACTGTTACACTAACCAAATGCTCCAATGGGTACTGTGTGTCAGCACTTATTACAAGTGTTAACATTCTGTGTGCAAGTCGTGTGGTAGTAAGACTGGGAACAATGATACTTGAAATCTAGAAGAGAACAGCCTGTTAGTTTATACCTCCCAAGAGCCACAGATGCAAAACCACACCAACATAAGAAGTAATGTAGCTATATTTAGCGGTATCCTTTTTGTATTAAGGGTAAACTCTTTGTTCTCAGCTTTGTAATGAACACAAAGGGTATGATTTAAAATTAAATTGTTACTTTTTTTTCCTGAGTAGGTACATGGTTATTTCCTAGCAATTTGTCAATAAATTACCTTTTTTTGCCCAAAAAGTGTTATTTTATGTTTTTGGAACCAAACTGTGGGATCTTCTTGATGGGTTTTTTGTTTCAAACACTGTAATGTAAGACACCATGTCATAGTTGTAAATGTCTGACTTGATGTTCAGGTTTAGTGTTGTGTTGCTGAGAAGCTTTGCCGTTCCGTCTGGATGCAAAAATAGAACACACGAGCAAGTGCATGGTCTAAACATGAATGTGATGTGGCAAAGGTAAGAGTGGCTAATAAACACCTTTATTTGGATCAGCCAAAAGATCACAAAGTAGTAAGGAGTTACCAGTAGAGTTTCCCCCCCCCCCAAGTTAAGTGTTACAAACACAACAAAAAGAGGGGCGGAGATGGAATGTTGTTGGTTGTGATGGCAAGCCCAAGTCTTCAAACTAACAGTCTTAAAATGGAGCATAGGTCGTGTGCTGGGTGGAAAAGAAAGATCTTGGGTTGTACCAAAAGCCACTTGGGCAGAGATGCAGTGGCAGGTCTCCCATTGAAAATATAAATAGCAGCGGTAATGGAGCTGTCATTGTAATATTGTTGTAGCTGCCCTTGGGACAACCTTAAATCCTCCCCCCCCACCACCACTGAAAGTCCTTTTATCTAATCCTGCATTGCACCTGTTGTTCTGCTCTTTAAGCTAACTATTAATCTCTATCATGTCCAACAACTTTACTGTCTTCTTAATTTTGTTCTGCTTGACAGCCTTCCTGAAGGAGAGTTCTACTGAGCTTCAGAACTTGTTCACTGCAGTGTAGCCTTCCCATCAAGGTTGTAGAGATGCACTTGATAGCTTTTCTGTCCCTCATTCAAGCAGTTTGCTTTCAACTGCCATGTCTTTTCCTCTCAATCAGCTTCCCAACTGTCATTGTATTTCACTGTCACACATATATCCCTCCAGTAATCAACACATTCTCGGTAACCTGCTTTGTCTGCATCTGGCCATTCTCTATATAAGGCTTCCTAATCCAACCACAATTATTCCCAGCATTTGGGAGTAAGCAGCAATCTGCTGATCTGGCAGTTGTTCTGGTGCCTCAGTGTCTGGCTTCAATCTCCCAGGCAGCAGAAGGGCCTGGTGCATCAGAGAATTATTCAGCATCACCAGATACGTGCATGACAGGAACACCAACAGAAGAGTTCCTGTTGATCAGGATTATCCTCTGCGGGGCAAAGAGTGAAAGGTTTCACTGGTACAAGCTGTACAAAGTTGCAGAGGTGGAAGAACAGAGGCAGATGCTCAGGATTCGTCCCGTCCTCTCCCCTGGCCATAAGCAACTTAGTTGTTCTGCAGATACATTTGAGTCCCACAGAGGGAACATAAAACTGCCTTATCAAACCATTGGTCCATCAAGGTGAGTATTGCCTATTCAGGCAGCTCTCCAGCATTTCAGGCATCACATACTGCCTGGTTCTTTTAAGTTGGAGATGCCAGGGACTGAACCTGGGACCTTCGGCATGCCAAGCATCTTGCCTTGCCTTTTTGCAAACCCTGGCAGGCAGGCATGTTGGTTGAGATAGAAGGGAATAGAGGCACAGTATCCATGGCTTCCGCTTTACCCAAGATAGTTAGTCTATGTTCCCTTTTAAGCCAGAGGAAAGCACTTTGCTTACACACTCAGGAGGCCTATGGAGATGGAGAACAGAGAAAAACACAGTGGTGGGGGTGGGGGAGAGAGATGTATCCCATCTCATGTGTAAAGAAAGGGGGGTCCTTTTAAAATCAAACTACACCGGGGGAGGGGGAGCTAAAGCCTACCCCCATCTTAATCCAGTCTTTGAATCATATTTTCTCCCAGCCAGTTTCTCATGCTAGAAGTCACCTCAGTTGGATGAACAATGCAGAAAGAAACAGAGCAGAATGAGGAGAAATTGGGTATGGTTTAAATTCTCATGCATGTGTGCTTTTTTTTTTTTTGAAAAGTGAAGTCAGATACTCACATATGCAGCTTGAAAAGGAGGAGAGAACAGCTCACTTCAATGCTAATTTAGGCCTCCCTGTGCCTGCTCCAAAAGTGAAAATGTTAACTACCCAGAAACAGGGAAGCTTACTCCTGCTTGCCCAGAAAGTTTTGAGGCAGGCGAGACTCTTTAGTGAGAATCGTGGTTCTTATTTTTATTTTTTTAAGTTATTTATTCAATTTATACCCCAGCCTCCCTGCCGAGGCGGTCTTACCTAAAATGCATATATGAAAATACAGTTAAAACGTACATAAACAATCAATTATTCTTGAGAATTTCATCTCAGTGTGTGTGTGTGGGGGGGGTTACACCTAGAAGTGTTTCCCAATGGAAACAGGTATCAAATTGATCCCCTGATAGGAGTAGCTTTATGTTTCCATGTGTCTACAAATCACCCTCATAGCTCCATAACAAATTTGGCATAAACTGAGGGAATCGTTTTAACGATTTCTAGCTTTCTTGTCTCATAAATTCTTCAGAGCTAAAATCAGACGGCTCCTGCTAGGAGGTACTTGATAACTTATTTCCTGTGTTCTCATGCTTAAAACTGTTTTTTATTAAGAGCTGCCATTGCACACAGCAGGTTTATGCAGTCTGTGCAAGGTTGTCAGTCAAGCTAACGCTTTCCTTCTGTGTGATTCAAGAGAGCACAAAAATGATCAAAATAGTTGAATAGGTTTTATTCAAATGAGCATAATGTGTCCTAATAGAAAATTTTTGTATAGGAAAAAAAAGGCTTTTCTAAAATCCTCCCTGCTTGGGCCAGATGGCCCTAGCTGGTAACACTACCGCGTGATTCCTGTCACCTGTGCAAATGGCTTGCCAGATGGCCAGGCCGCATCTCCATATACAAGACACTTTGACACCTCTGCCAGGAGAGAGCGACTTGCCCGCGCCTTCCCAAGCATGGGACAAGCTATGCCCAGTACATTAGCACATCAAAAGCATTCCCTGACATGACACATGGTCACTGGAAGAGGCTGGAGTGGGATGCCCAACTCCTAGCCAATCAAAACATACCTTGCCTGACAACGCATGGTAACCAGAGATTGGACACGCCTCCCCACTCTCTCACTATTGGGTAAATGGCCATACCTGGTGGTGACGGAGGAGGGGTATAACAGCAATGATCCATATGGGGAACAGGAGGTTAGGAGAGTTAAGTGAGTTCCTCTCTGGAAACAAAGAGTTCTTTTGGACTGACTGTTTGCTGTTAACCTGGAGTGAGACTTTTAGGCAGCCAAGCTGGACTAGCTGCCCACAAAACAATG